TACTCGTGATTTCGTTGTTTTTCCATTCGATTTCCATCAGACACCCTATCAGATTTTTGAATTATTTTTAATAATCTTTTGTCTGTGTCAAGATGTTCTTTTTTTATATTTTTTTATCGGGACTTCTTCTTGATTCCAATCGGTATAAATAAGTATCCCTTCCAGTTTGGATCTTTCTTATGGAACATAAAAGAAACGACGAACGTTACTAAATATATTTCGCTATAAACCGATGCTTGACCAAATGCTTCACAATTTTACACGAGGTTCATCATAGCTTGCCTTTAATGGTTAAACAACTTTTAGCCAAATGGTTTTTGTTCATAGCGTTTTAAGTTCAAATTTCTATAAAATCCTAAAGATAATCTTTAAGACATTTCAAAACACATTTGCTCAGAATCGTATTTCAATTGCAATGATTTATCGAGGATACAGATATAAATTAAATAACTTTATGTATCCTGCCTTCTTAACTTTTCACTTACAACAATGGCACAATCAACAGTAGTATTAACATTTTTTTTTATAAATATTGGCTATAATGAATAATGATAACAATAATGTTACAATTAATATTTATTTCCCTGTCTACCAAATTAACAATCGTAACCACATAATAGTAACGGACGTTTACAGACGGCCAACATAACGGGGATATAAAGTGTTCTAAACCTATATATATAAACCTATAAGCAAATCGAATGACTGACAATATTTATAAATATCACGAAAATCAATAAAAACCTATGAGTAAAAAAAAAAAAAAATTATTTACGTATGTAAAGTCAGTTTCAGGCAAATGGATCGATAACAGAACAATATTTTAGAATTTTCGGATACAGGAGGATTCCTTCGATCTGGGTGTCTTTTTCGGGAAGAATATGCAGAGAATGGGCAGAGGAAAAACTGTACACGCAGCGGCGTGGCGTGCATATAAGCATGCGTGTAAGCGTACACTTTCGGTTATAAAATGTGAGCTGTCAAGCATCACGAACTAAGATAATATGGACTGGTCACGAAACTAATTTCTTCAGACAAGTTTTGAAACGGAGTTTTCGTAAAGGGGGAACACAGGGATTTAAACGAAAAGAAATTAATTATATTACCTTTACAACACCCATTCGAGAGGCCATCATAATCTTGAATCGAAAAACCGGCAAATTTTGAACACAATAAATCTGTTGATGTTTATCTATATAGTTGTTCTTTACAGATTTTTAATTATCTTTAGATAATTAAAATTATTAAAATTATCAGAAGTAAAATTATGAAAATCATAATAATCGCGGTATTATCAAAATAATATGTTTACCTGGACTTTGTTCAGAATCGATCTTTGTTGGCCATGATTTGTCGTTTAAATTAAATTAAACTTTATTGTATACTCTACCTTTCCGATTTCTCGCCTACAACAGTGATACATCCGCCAACAGTATCAGCAATAAGATAATATCAATTAGAATCAAATGGTATAAGTCAAATGGTATAATTTTTAAGAGCAAAAAAAAAAAAAAAAATTTGAACGATTTACTCTCCATACACTTTGGCGAAAACCAATTTTCTTGTATCTTGACTAATTAGATCGAAAATGCAACAAAAACGATACCTTGTCGATTGGACATTTCGTTAGAAAATGTCGCGCGTAAAAATTAAAAACAATAAAATCGGTAACCTATAATTTTGTACCGGGTGTTTTTCCCGATTTGAAAACCCCTCGTCCGATCAAAAAAAATGACCTATCTAATGCGCAAACTACGCGGATAAAATTTCCTTTCAGAAAAGGCGCTGAAATCCTCTAGTTTCGCGAACCACCGGCAATGCAATTGTATAATAATTGTGTGGTAGGTACAAAACGGACCGGCGTGTCTGCACGACCGGCTTACAAATAACACAAACCGAACTAAACCAATGCATTAAGCCTCTTCGCTTTCTCCCGTTAAAATCTAAAACGATTATATCAAATCGTCGTATTACCGGGTTACAAACGATTAACACGGGTACAAATAACTAAATCACGCACGGGATTCAGTATAATATTATTATTACGTGTTACGCATTGCGCTGTTCTCGGTGCATATTAATTAATGACTCCCGGAGTCGTAGTCGTGTAAAAATATATTTATTTTTTTTTTTTTTTTTTTTTTTTTTTTTGTAACAAACGTCCGGGGATTCCATAGCTGTTGCGTCGCCCTATCTCCCGAGCAGACGAATAATTTATCAAACCAATGCGTACGAACACGATTTCGGATTTTCGGTTACCGATCCATCGGTTGTTTATGACGGCCCGACTTGGCCGCCGTGCGTACCAACGTACGCATAATAACGTGTACAGGACGATTTGATATTTTTTTTTTTCCTAAACAAAAACCGACGATTAAAGATTGTACAGATTGGGAATCGGCCCACAAAGACAGTCCCAAATCTTCTGAACAAATCAGCTTTTCCGACGAACCGCTAGCGCTACCCGCGGGACTATCTTGTACGATATAATACGTAACGAGCAACCGCTAAAACAACAAAACGACAACGACACGACTGGAAAGCGGGAACCGCGAGTCATGACAAAAATGATAATAAATGGCCGTGACGAGTAATAATATTTATGACACTGGGAATGAACGAGCGTTAGTGGTTAGTCGGAACGGCTGATTGTTTCGGAAGAGTCGTGCGTCGCTTTATCGCCGCTCGATTCCCGGCCCGTATGTCTTTGATCGCGGACGACCATAAGCTAATAACGTCTGAACGACGCGGATATCGGCGTTTAATAATGCCGTATTTCTTTTCGAATCCGAATTTCAAAAAAAAAAAAACCGCGCTGTACAATTTTAAAATCGAAAATCCGTACCGTTACGTATGCGTTCCGCGGACAATCGGACAACGGTATACGGGACCGAAACCGCGTTAGCCGTTTCGGAGAAACGTATCCGTTCGCACCGCAGGCTCCGGTTCGGAAGCATTCGACAGTGTACGGTAGATTTTTTTTTTTGGCCGTACGGAATTGAATACGGTCTCGCACGCCTTTTCGGACGGACGTCCCCGTAACGGACGACCGTCTAAAACGGCGCGGGGTCTAAAACACGGCCGAAAGAAAATGAAGGGGGGGGGAAACCAAAACGAACCAAGTCGTGACAATCCGATCGACGAAAAGGCGTATTTTCTATAATACCGCCCAGTTACCGCGACCGGTCCCCCGTCCGCGTCTCCGCGCTTCTCTTTTCGCCGCGGGCAATAATACAGACGGTAAGGTCCGTTACTATTATCGCGCACGCGTACCTGCCTACTTGCCCGTGTCCGCATCCCGCGGACCCTATTTTCGTTGTACGACAATAGTGCGCCGTGCGCGTCGCACACCGTACACCTGTATAAATATAAATATTACACGTATTATTTAGTAATAATATGAAAATTCGTTTCGTAACGCATAACGAGTCTTGACGTTTTTCTGGGTGGTCACCGTCGTTTTATACGCGCGCGCGCGCACACAATACCGAACCGCCGTTGCCCGGTCGTTCGCACGCGCGCGTGTGCGCGCCGCTCGTAGATAATTTCGGGAGAGTAAAAAAAAAAAAAAAAATCACATTATAATCGTAATAATATTATTATTATTATTAACAGCCGACTAAAATAAATATGGAAAAAAAAAAAAAACCGCCGCGCATATAGGCCGCCGCCGCGCGGCACAGCCACCCGTGGTCATCGCGTGGAGCGGGAACGGCCGGTACAACCGTACACGGGCGTTCCGAGGACTACCGGAATAAATAATCCGCTGTCGCGCGTAAATTATGAACGCGCGGAGACCACTCTGGACGCGAGGACGAAACCGGACCGAAAAATACGCCGGCGACGGAGACGCCGGCGGACCGGAAGCTGAATATTAATAACGTTGGCCCGGGCATTATTATCGTTATCGTCGTACGTACCCGCACCGGATTCGTTCAGCGCGCGCTTTTTTTTTTCTGTTTTTTTTTTTTCACGTTATTTATTCTATTCGCTTGAATAATTATTCACACAACGCTGGGCGTTTTCGTCGCGATCGCAACGAATTCGCCCGACGTCGGACTTCGCTCGTCCCCGTAGTGACGCTTTCGACGCGGCCTCGGCCGCTGCCCGTCTCGCGCTGTTCGCCGACAAAGGACGTGACGGCGCGTACCCGTACGCGCGCTGTTCCAACACTGATGATAACAGACAGCAGCGATAACAACAATATCCCCGCGTACGCGTGTCCGACGGAGACGAACGAATCTTTAGTTTTTTTTTTTTTTTTTTATTTTCTTCTAAACCGTCTCTGTTTTCCGTTTTTCATCGTCCGCCGCCGACGGTGTACCGCGGGATGGCCGCCCGCCGTCCACGCGTGTCCAACCAACCGTGCCGAACGCACCACTCGACGCGCCTGCGCACGCGCGCCTGCACGTTACGTCACACGAATTAACGTTCCGGCGAATACGTCAACGCGCGTCACAGTCCGTTTTCACGTTCGGTGTTGCGACAGCACGCACAGTACCCCGTGCAGCGATGCGGCCGAAACGTTATCGTTCTCGGTCGCGCGCAGCGCTGTTATCCGTATCTTAGATACGTTTTCAATGTAAAGTTCTTACTTTTTTTCGGTTAGAAAAATAAAAAAAAAAAAACCCGCAAAAATAAAACGTAAAGTTCTAAAATCTAATGTTTTTAAAACAGAACGCACCGACGACAATTTATCGTCGACGCGTATCGTTTTCCGATTTATTTATTGTTATAGATTATCGCGCATGAGTGTACGCATATCGTGTATTGGCAAGTGGACGATACGCGTGTTTTTAAAATTTGACGTTTACCGATATTTTAATAATGTCATTTCACGTATTTCAACTGACAACGATTGAGTATTATGACTTATAACTTTATAAGAATAAAATTATATTTGAAAACTGATATGAAAATGTAGATAAAAATTATTGCGTTTGAAATTGTGCACCCATTACTTGTTTCGTTACAGTTTTGTAATTCTATATTTTTAACGAACTTAATAGTTATTTATAAAAAAAAAAAAAAAAAAGAAAGTATTTTTAGATGTATCTTATGATACTCTTAAGATACTTGTATCTGTACCTATATATAGATACATTTTTTTTTAGTAGAGTATTCGTGTCTGTAAATATTAATTTAAAGTGTCTTATTACGGGACTGATTTCGTATTGGTGTCGATTTTTTTTTTTTTTGCCAACGGGCATTTCAATGGTTAGATTTGTTTGGTAAACGTCGTGTGCATTCGGCCGTTTGTTCGCCGACAACCGAATAATCCAATCGATTTCACCCGTTGCGTTGTTGTCATTATTGTGGAGTTATCGTTTGTCGTTTACGTGTAAACCGTTACGATTTCAGTAGTTATCCGTGTCGTAAAGTGCACATATATATATTTTTTTTTTCAATCGAAATTTCCCCGTTTGCATAAAGGTTGCGAAACTATGACACCGAATTCAAACCGATCGGAGAAGGCGGAGGGGGTCAACTTTACGAACGTCCCGAAAGCTGCCCGATAATTTTTTATGGATGAATCAAAAAGAAACCGAAATAACCGAGAAACCTTTAATTGTGTTTCTGTTAACGAAAGAAGTGAGTACACTATACGGTACGAATAATTTTATAATTGTCCCGCGCACATTTTTTTCGCAAAAATTGTAGTCATATATGCGAGTACGCGCGAAAAAAAAAATTACACTCGTGACGCGGAACCACGCGTACCTACATTTATCCGTTAATGACACGGGGTCCTTTTAAAAATTTGGCGATTCATGTACGCTTGCAGCATTCGTCGTCCGCCGTAACATCATCTCTACAAAAAGATAGGTGGCGGGGACGACAATTATTAATATTCATCGGTGCGTTTCTGAGACGATATTTTCAGCCGGATCGTTAAACGATTTCAGTTTTTTTTTTTTTTTTTTTCGTAGGTAGGTAGGTAGGTAGGTAGTGAGTACAAAGAGATAAATATTACCCGTTTACGACAGGTACGGGCGTGTTGACGGTGAACCGCGTTCGTGTTTGTATACCTACACCTTTATAATATTATTATTTGTGGGTGCACACGGAGACGACCGCAAAGTGAGTGTACTCACTTATAGGTAATACCGCGCCATCCGAATAACGATTTCTTCCGTGAAGATGGGTCGCCGCAAACGGTTATTAATACCGCCCCCACACGTGGCTTTACGGCGAAACCGCACCGACTCCGCGTTATTACTGTAGTCGGCTATTTTTATTTTTTTTATTTTTTTTTTTTTTTACGAGCGTTTTATTTGAACGTGACAAAAAAAGACCGAACAAAAAAAAAAAAAAAATTAAATAAAAAACAAGCGCCCATAATAATAATATACGGAACGCGTGCCGCCCACTAGACGAAAACTTTGATTTTTCGGCCACCGGCGCACTGCACGTTCCGGTCTTTACGGAGTTTATTTTTCTTTTGGAATTCCGGTGTTCCGGAATCAAAAGGTCCGGGCCCGGTCGGAATGCATTGAACGCGAACATCCGAAAATATAATTCAGCCATTTGTATAAAATGCAATTTCCTATAACAGTGCCGTTATTCTATGACAACGCAATCATTGAAAATAACATACACATATGATTTTTGGATTTTCAAGGTTTATAAAAAAAATAAATAAATGATAATAGGCAATTAATGTTTTTAACTCGGGTGATTGATAATTGAACCTATTATAGTTTGTATACAAACATTTTTGAAGGGCAACCGTGAATCGGGTCACAATAAACCTTTTTACATTTATAGCAGGTGGACCCGGTAATTGGGACACTATATTTTAATATATTTTAGATTTGACAAAAGACAAACAACTATTTAACAACAATTTTTTAAATTATTTGAAACCATATTATTATTTGTTCCACGATTACAAATTAAAATTTCTATGTTCGTTAAAATCGATTTATGTCGATGACACTTTTGAATACTGTGCAAAGCAATCTGTAGCACATTATTTAAAAAAAAAAAAAAAATATTATCAAATAATTATTTGAGTAATTTTTTATCATGTATTTTTAATATACTAAAAATTACATATTTTTGTGTTTTATATTTGTGGCCCAATATCCGGCTGATATATGGGATTGTAAAACCCGGATGGTATAGAAAGTAGAAAAAGTGATCGGATAGTTTCCGCGGTTTCGCAGTATTAGTAGATTTTAATCACAATTAATAAGCTTTTCGAAGCATGTGTGAAACGGATTACGCGAGATGGGCGAACGTTCTTAGTACAAATATACGAGGACGAATAATTTGTTTTTTTTTCTGTTGGACATGTACCGATACTATTTCTTCCAAATCGTCAGTTTTAGCGTGTAGGTACCCATGATCTATTAATTATATTACAGGCAAATCGTTCAAATCGTCGTTTTTCAGAGTTTCAAAAACGGCCGGAAAAAGTACAGAATACATTGCCCGGGCATACCGCGCGTAGAATACCAAAGCTCGACGAGGTGATGTTCGAAACACACGGAAACAATAATAGCATTTAGATTTTAGAGAGAAGATGTCACAATGAAGACCGGACGAGACGAGATATATTTTCAGGTAGAGGTCGGTTGCAGTGCGGACGATCCCTAATTGTATAACGGTCCAGATAGCATCGGAAAAACTGTCTCGGCAATACTATATTGTATTCTAATTTTGGAAATTCCTGGAGAATTTTATAGATCGACAGTGTTCAATAGCGAACTCGGGTGATCGATAATTGAACCTATTAGTGACATACAATACACGAATTTCAAAAGGATTTAAAATAAAAGTAGTTCCTATTCAAATAGGTATTTTACTCGTTGAACTGTAAACCAATAAACCACGCTGGTTTAGTTTTAAAAATAGCGAATTGATCAACCTGCGAGTAGAACTCTGTGCGTATATTAATTCAAAATTCCGGAGATAATATTAAAGTGGGTCTTCGATTGTATAGTATAAATAAGGACGTACAGTCGAATTATCGTTGTAAATGTTAATCGCGTTATAATTCTAGTCATATTTACGTGTCCGTTAAAAAGTTTTTTTTTTTTTTATTTCGTCAACAATGTAGTTTTTATTTATTTAATTATAATAGTACTACTGCAAAGTATTAAGTAATTTTTTAAGATTTTTTTTTTTTGTTTTTCTACAACCACAATTTTGATCTTTGGGTGTGTGATCGGCTTTACGTGAGTCGCGATAAATGTATGCCCAAAACAGTGGGTCGTGAGTCCAAAAAGGTTAAAGACCACTGCTGTAGTGTACTTACTTGTACCTTGGTATAACAAAAAAAACCAAACATTTTTTAAACTCGTAGAAAACCTTAATTAAACTACATTAAAGCATATTATTATGAAAAAAAAAAACAAAATCCAGACAGTTATCTGAGTGCAAACAGTTTCGAAATGCTAAATAATTTAGTAAGAATATTTTAATTGGACTGTGGCAGCCGTTCAATGACTCCAGGATCACGTGAGGATATTAATAACGTCCCGACACAACACCGAGATTCGGTTATACATGTTTTGAAATGCCCCAATTTTTACGATTTTCGTAAAAAATTGACCTCAAAACTTTTAAAAAAACAACAACAACAATATTACTTATTTTTACATTTAATACAAAAAATGACCTTGAAAATCGTGTTTAATTTTCAAGAATTTCTGCTGTGCCAAAATAAATTGAACAACTACATAAATCACATATACTCAATTTCCCACCTACAACAGTGATACGATTGTCAGCACTATAATATTTCTTTAGTTCATATATTTTTTTTTTTTGCATTAAAATTATAAATTATTTGCATTATTTTTAATTGTTTTAACACCGTAGAAAATTAAAAAAAAAAACTAACAATTACTTCATAATTGATGACACGCGGTAATTTTTATTGTGACGTTATAATGGCATTGTTAGAAGTTCTTTAAAAAAAAATTTAAAAAAACGAGCATCTGTTTGTGTAATTTGTTTTTTTATTTTTCTAAAAACCACAACCAATAGGAAATTACACCTAATATGTAAAACACTATCATCGTAAATACTAGTTTTATTGTACTTATTATATTAGTTTGTCGTTTGCATCTGTGGAATATTATAACCGTGCATGTATTCTTGTTTGAAAATTCACAATATTGCCACACGTTCAACTTGACTTTTACCCGTCCTAACACACTCATATAATTTAATTAATAATATGCATAGGTATATAAATCTGTTTATTATAATTTTTTTTTGTATTTGTTTAAAAGAGCGACTGAATCCATTAGCTGCGAAAGAATCTAATTCAAAACCTACAGATAATCCAGAACAAGTAAACAAATCTTCCGCGATTCTATCTGTTCCTAGTAAAATAAAGGTAACATAATATTATTGTATAGTTTTTTTTTAAATTTGTATTTAATTTCTCGTGTAAAACTGGTACAACTTTGTTATCTCAGCACTATCACATTTCAACATAAAAACCAAATCTATTAACAGTATAATGTACATTTTTGTTTGCACAATTTATTGTGTATATAGACTACTATAACTTGTACATTTTTCGTTTGTTATTAATTTATTGAGTTGATTGAGTAAACTACAAAATTAAATATATAGGTATATATCGTCAATATTTTTCATGACAATTAAATGCTTGTTCATTTTTCGAACATTAAAATAGTTCAAGTGTTCAGTGTGATTAGGGTAGATTAAACACTTATTATCGCAAAAGTTAAAAAGTTATTCGGAATATGTTTTATAGAAAATGATTAAAGAAACAAGTAGTTCTACAACTTTGCATCTATGTTATTTTTCGTCACCCTTATTTTCGGGGGTGAAACCATTAACTACTTTTGTGTTTTAAACGGTGCCCTATAAATGGGTATCTACCGGGTTAAATAAATATTTGTGCTGAAAGTGTTGAATTTCGTCAATCTGTTAACGAGATTTTGCACTTTGAAGTTTAGCGGCAGAGTAGTGGGGCATTATTTCTGCGGTGGCACAACGCGTTGCGTTTAAATAATGCACCACTACTCTCCCCTAACCAAATGTTAAAAGTGGAATATCTCGTCAATGGATTAGCAGAAATCATAAATTTCAACTTCATCAATTATTTTAATGAATACTCAATCTATGTATTGAATTTTTAGTATAGGTTGCCATTTGAAAATCAAAAGTACGTAGTAATTTTAACTCAAAAAAATAAGGGTGACAAAAAATAAAATAAATTTGAAATTATAGAGCTGCTTGTTTCTTGAATATTCTATAAAACAAATTCCGAAAATGTTATTATTTTCAGAGACAATGAGTGTCTTATGATAGAGTGCTCACTCTGTATACAGTGGTTCTATTTATGTGCCTTCATTCAGTATTTCATGACTTTTTTTGCGACAGTTTAAGAAAAAAAACGAATAAGAAGTTATACAATTAAAATGAGAAAAGTAGTGTGAATGTGAAAAGACAACATAGATTTCTACATATAACAACAATATCGTTGTAAAAATCACTTTTTATGTAAAAAAAAAAAAATATTGAATATAAAATTAGATTTTTTTTTCAATTTTCAACTATATGCATATGATAAACTAACAATAAACTGCAACAGTACTTAAAATAATAATTACAATAATTTAAAATGTTATTAGAATAATTTAAATTACAGATGTTTTATTTATTATAAATTTAGTGTAATTTAAATATCAATCGATTTAAGAGTTAAATTTTCGTACCGCAGTTAAAATCAGTATGCATTTGTTTATTCAAATATTACAATTTACAATAGTTCGCGCATATATATTGAATATTTTTGAGTGAAAATATATTGTTTTAGACATCGGTATATAGGATGATCCTTTTTAGTGACTATACTTGGTATTTCGAAAATTATTGAATATTTTAAAAATAGTTTTGGTAATTTATTTAACAAACATCTCTAAATTGCTACATTTATACTGTTTACCACCTTTATTTTCGAGGATGAAAACAATTATTACTTTTGAATTTAAATTTAAAATGTTAATTGATATAGTTTTAATAAAATTTAATTTTGATGTATATAATCTTCATCAACTCATTGACGATATGCTCTACTATGACCTCAGGGAGAAAAAGTGTATTGGGATCAGGAGAAGCAACATTTGTGTAGAACCTTGTTAGGTGGCGAATGAAAAGTGCTTCACTCAATTCCTCCTAACAAAATTTAAAAGTGAAAAATCTCGTTCACGGTTGATGGAAATAAAAATTATTTATTATTATATATTTTTATTTAGGAGACAGAGTCACGTATCCCAGCGAAAACAAAAGACAAAAATTGGAAAAGTTTTGAAAATATTCCATCAGAGTTTGATGCAAGAGAACAGTGGAAAATGTGTACTATAATCGGAGAAGGCATATACGAGGGTCTATGGGAAAATAGCTGGGTGATTTTTTAAAACTAACTGTGACCCAATGAGATCAATACATATTTAGTTACACCATTACTATTTAAATAATCGTAATTCAAATTTATTGAATAAAATTATACAGGCTGTGGCCACTAGTTCAGCACTTGCCGACCGAATATGTATAGCGCAAGGTGGACAATTTAACGAACACTTATCAGTCAAAGAGTTGTTGTTCTGCTGTAAAGATTGCGGGCCTTTAGATGAGAGCTCTACAGCAAAAGCTTGGGAATATTATCGAGATTTCGGCGGGCTCTCTGGACCACATTTTAATAATTTTGGTGTAAGTATAACAGCTTACGTTTATCGTACCATTGTCTTTTCGACAAAACACATATTTAATTTAATACCATAAATCTTTGATAGGTATGTCCACCTGAAAAGTCTAAAATTGATGATACGAATTTTCGCCGGAAAAGTATGCAATATTATAATTAATTATTTGATATAATATCCTATACATAGTAACATATTTACCAATTATTGCATTACTATACAATAATAGGAATTGGTTTTTATTCGCATATGGAATTTATATAAGTCTTTTGTATCGGCTGGTTACTCTTTTTAGATCTCTGAGTTGTGTAAACTCTCTGTCCAGCAACCTTCTCACATTTGCTTCTTTTTACTCTACCGAATGCGTTTTCATGCTTAAAGCACCCGAGCTCTTATCCACGTTAGCCCCTAACAATTTTCTTAAATTCTCCAACTCTTTATTTTGCTTTCAAGAACTCACACCGCTTATATAATCGATTTTCTTCTCTCTTCCATTTTTGTTAGTACAAGACAATATCTCTACAATATTAGTCTCTCAGGTTTTGTGATTGAATTTGTATGGATTTCTAGTCATGCAGGTATCCTTCGCAATCAAAATGCAGACTCTCTGGCCTAATTCAACTTTTCTCTTCTCAGCCTCTCTATTTCTTTTATTCCTTAGACTGATTTTCGTCAAACGTTAAAATCTCACACGAAGAACATTCTTCTTACACAGTCTTGAACGAATGTGACTTAACTAATGGTTAAGTTTGTCTTCTAGTTTTGCTACCTGGTATAGAAACATCTCTTCTACTATTCCACCCAAATCTTGTTTCCACAATTTAAATCTTAGTCGGAAAACAATTTTCTTCGTCTCATCTCTTAGACTGGCCTACTACCCTACTCCCTTCTTATTCCAACAAAATTTCCCTTGATAACTCCTCTTTTTGCATTCTCCACAACTCCGAATCAATTTGTGACATTTCCCACATTCTTTTTTATTTTCTTCCCCTTACCCTCCAACGTAATGTCCCTTTAAATGCACATTCAATTCTTTCTTCACATCTTCCACCAATAAAATTATTTATTTTATCTTACATTTATGATACTTGTTTTGTAATTTAATGTTCTTTTTAAAAAAGCTGTCCTTAGAAATTAGGGACGGGTAAGTAGGAAACAGAAGGAAAATTAATTTGTATCTGTAATTAACGATAAACTATTGCGTACTAGTGCGGAGTTCAGTTAATAGTGATGCTATGTCAACAATATACTCGTGTATTTCGTATTAATAAATTATGTTAAAATAATTAAATGTGCAGTATATATTTTCTTTAATAATATATGTTTGAAATTGTACGGATTTTCCCGGTTTTTCAAATTTGCTGGGAAAACTCTTGGCAAAATCGAAAAACTAATTTTTTAAAGTATCTCCCTAGTCCGATTTCCTTTTAGAAAAAGTGCTATCATAGTAAACTAGAGTAAAAAAGTTGCTTACAGAAAAAAAAAAATTGGTAATATTTCACTAGTATATTTCATATATTTTCTCATTTTTTCTCACTCTTTTCCTTTTATTAGGAAATCTGCCGGGAAAATCAAAAAATGACCTCCTTAAAGTACCACTCCAAGAAAATTTCTTTTCAGATAATGTGCTACATCGTAAACCTACAAATAAAATAATAATAATAATAATGAATATCTTTGTAAACCCAATAATACATTCTTCGCTCCATACAGAATCTAAAAAAAAAGTTTTACGATTTTACAGCTACAAATGTATATACCCTCAAAGGTATAAACGAAATAAAACAGGATATTTTTACATATGGACCAGTTTCCGCTGTACTGAGGATTTATGAAGACTCTGAAAATTATAAAACAGGTAGCCTTTTGATATAAGTGTACAATTTTTAATTTTTTTAAAATATTAAATATTGTCACAAGATGATTTGTACGTTTACAATCGTATACATAGCACAAAAAGTTACAAATTACAAGCAGTCAAGATAATCGGTTGGGGAAAAGGAGAGGATAATGCTTTTCCTCACTGGTTGTGTGTCAAAACACACGGCAATTCCTGGGAAGCTAGTGGAACGTTTAAAATTAATTTAGGACTTTTCGATCCTAATACTGGAGGAGACATAATTGCTGGTGAACCGTTTGTGAAAAAAAAATCATTTGTCCAGAGATGGCTTTGCGGATAATTCGGATATTATGTTAACCACGTCAACCTGACCTATCACTAAGCCACATCTTCTCTCGTCTCTTTTTAGTTTTTATCTCGTCCCTCCTTATTTCTTATCAGCTTCTATCCGCTCTTATCAGCTCTGGTCCTATTCGATCTTATCTGCTCTTATGCGCTACAGAGAGGATTCGATCATAACGATGGTCCATTCGGTTCACGGTGCATCAAATCACATGTGTCGTGTGTTGAAGAATGACGAAGAACATAAATCATCCAATTATTTAAAAGTCTTGTAATGTAAAATTACGTAACATTCAAAATTGTCTTCTTTACGAAACGAATAGCGTTTACGTGCACAATTTCATTATCAAAATAAAAACGCAATAATTAACGTTCGAAAAAACCCGTTTTTATTTTTTCGCAATATTCGATCAGTTACATTAGGTATTTTACAAAATGAGATTACGACAATCACGCGCCGCCCATTGAACGGATTGTTCGTGCGTTATAACGCGACCGCGCACAATTAAAACACGTTGATACGCCGCCGATTTCGCCTCGTACCCGGGGGTATAATATGTTACCCAGGGGTAACATAATAATTATGTTACCGGTGTGCGGTACAATGTACCGATTCGCCGTACGATACATCGTCGCGCAGTATTGAAAAACGGCGATAAAAAATATTGTTCTCGAAACCCGCCGGGCAATATATTGTATTGTTCGCATAAAAAGTACACCCGGTCGGCGGTACGGGTATACGGAATTGTCGTCATCAACGTTAATATTATTTCCGAGGACGGTCGTGCGGGTGTTGCGGCGATCGCGTGACAATATCGTACGCGTATATATATATATGTATCTCTCTTGAACAGCGAACGCTTCGTTGTGTTTATTAAATCGTTTACGTTTTAGAAAACGCCAAGCACTCGGCCGTATCCGAATCTTTTAGTTACACCGTTGTGATGATATAGACGATAAATAATCGTACGCGGATAGTTTTATGTTGTGCGCGCGCGTAACATTACCCGTGCCTACGCCTGTTTACCGTAATATGGTTATCTCTGGTAGAATGGCTGCTGGGAGAAACGGCCGACGCGCGCACGCCGCAGCTCATAGGGTATTGTGGAAAAATCTTGAAAAAAAAAAAAATAATAATAATAATAATAATAATAAAAAATACGCGTACCCGGCCGTGAATTAACAGCGCGTAGCCGCGCGCGCGTCGTCATCCCCCGCGGCCGCGGGGACGTGGCCGTAAACCGCGAGGAGCGCGTCATCGCGTCTCGTGATCTTTCGGGGCCGGAGCATACGAAGGAACGCGCTCGGGCGATTACTCGGCCACCGTCCGCGGCCGCCCCCGGGGTGTAACGAATGTAATTATTGTTATCGGACCGGGTTCGTTTTTTTTTCTTATTTTTTTTTTTCTTATTTTGGCGCGTCGCCAAAGACGCTGTATAATAACGATAATTATTCGTTATTACCGGGGCCGCGTTGTGTTATTAGAGACAACACGGTACGCCGCGCGCGATATCTAGATCGCCGGCACCTACGGCCAATACGCCGTCCGTTACCGCCTCGTGCGTTATTATTATCGTGCGCCCGGCGCGCCTTTCGTGTTTGTTTTTCGTAACACCCGCGCGCGCGCGCGTCCGACGGGATACGTCGTTACGTGCGGACCCGCGCTGCCGGTGCCTCGCGTCTCCCACGCGCGCCGGACGACCGGCGGATCCGAGATACACTGGAAAATATCGGGTGTACCCCGTAACGCGCCCGGGTCGTTGTATTGTAATAAAATATAAATCGTGTAGAAAAAAATAAAAAAATATACACGGTAATAATTTCGTCGCATCCGATAAGACGCGCGCGTCGAGCGCGTACGCCACGTTGCGACGCTACAGGATCCCGTGTAGGTATTGTATCGCCGCCCCGGGACAAGCTTAAACGCACGTTAATTGTTTTTTTTTTTTTGTATGTGTGTGTGTGTGTGTGTTTATTGTTTATACAATGTATACGCGCGGATAGGACTTGTGATAGTTTAAACTCTTTTGTCGAAAAACCAGTTTTTGAGAGAAACGTATATAAAAAAAAAAAAAAAAAATCACCAAATTTTCGTTCCTTTAAAGTTACCTGCCGTATCAATAGCCTAGACGCTCGTATTGAAAACGCGTTCGGCATAACTGAAAAAACAGACGGACATAATTCGTACGGTGGACGGGCCGCTGTTGTAGGTGAGAAGTTGAAATACCGCAGAGGAAATTCAATGAACGTCTGTACGCGAACATTGACCAATGCAAAACGATACTGAAAGGAGTTCGGTTGTACACGTTTTGGAAGGCAGTAAAATTTCCGATTTGAAAACGTTACATTTCGTACAGATTTTCCTACGTTTTTCCTAGTTTTTCTCATTACCGAAAACGAACTCCGTAAAGTAACACCCGTCGATTCTCCCATCCGGATCGTTACGACGAAAATATTTTATTCGACCTCGGACGATCCGTACGACACGAACATAACAGTTTTTACGTACGATGCTGGCAGAAACCGGTACGGGTTACAATTTTAAACCCCCTACAGGCACGTCATTGATACGTGTAACATATTTCCATCCCTTCAGTTTCATTACGGACGTATGCTTGGTTTAAAGCTAATAAAACGCTTGTTCAATTCGTGTTGAAATTCTGATTTTTTTCGATAAATTTTTAAAATTGTTTGGGTTTTACGAGTTTCTTCAATATTTAAACTTCAATCTTTAACCGCCGGTTCTATATTTGCTACCGCAACTCGGCGAGTAGGTGTGATCTCTACCGCTACAAAAAGCAATAATATTCAAAGTAGCTAGTGCGGAACGATACACATACATGTTTTATAAGTCTCGGATTAGTACCTACCTACCGTCCTGAAAATATTATTTTAACCACGCCATAACAAGTGTATTGTCCGGAACATTTGTTAACAAACATCTGTTACGTGTCGAAGTGCTCGAAGCACTCTTATATTTTTGCATTCGCTCTCGTTTTCGATGAAACGACCACCCGCTTTTGATTTTCAAATCGTAACGTATTAAAAATGCCGTAACGATGCCGGTTTAGTTTGAATACATTCTGTCCAAAAACGGAATCCCCAACGTCGCCGGGAATACAAATCACCGTTACAAGACGATTGGTATATACGTGCGGCGTATGGAAGTTCATCGTAACGATACGTGCGCAAATATGTTTCGGGCCGCTACGAATCCGATACTTACAGAAAAACACCCATACCGTATAATACCCGACGTCTATAATATATTAAACACCGTCGGTTTTTCTCGCGGCTAATGAGAGAACTCCCACCGCAGAGATTACGCCTACTCACCCGCGGTATTAAATATGGAATAATATGCGCCGGTCGGACGTAAATGCATAATATTCCGATCGTCTGGCGATATTATACCGTAATGTATATGTATATTATAATATCGCCGTGCGAATCGTACGAACAAAACGTACGAAACCCGAACCGGAAACATGCTCGGCTATTGTACATTACATCCAATTGGATTGCGCGCGCTGTTTTCGAAATATGTATTTGCGGGCAGTGGGCACCCGACGAACGTTTCGAATCCGGTTATCGTCGCGGAAAGCGGTAAACTTTAAAAACCGAAAAAAAGTGTTTCACTACGTGTTTACTGCGGTCGCATTATTCACGATAGACCCGTATATGCCATCCCTCGCAGGTTCCTCGCTTTTCGAATTTTACCGTCTACGCGACCGTCAGTAATCGATTTCAGCAAAACCGTCATGGGTGTCTTATAATTAATAGCCGTGCAGCGTTTTTCTTTTGTATGCGTAAACTACTACTTACAATCAAAAAATGTGTGTACAATTTCTTCTTGTAACGTCATTGATCTTGTCCGGTGTATGAAGTGGTGATTTTTTGATTTTCCTCGTAATTTCCTCGTAATAAATGGAAAAAAAAAAACTGGCAATTTGTTGCATGCAAGTTGTCAATTTTCGGGTTACCGCGACAACTGCAAGGAAAAAAACGCGATTGATAATATTCTGATCAAAATATTGTTATCCTTTAACAATGGTTTATCGTTACGTACATATTATATACATTAAATCACTCCGTACAACTCCCCCCTGAAACAATGGAACACCCGTCGGCAGTGATGGTCTTTTATTTTTCCTATCACCCGGGGTAAAGTGACAGTGTCCACAGTGGCGTTTTATTATTTATAATACAATATGTCGTTTTGATTGTTTTAAACACACGCGGCTGTAAAACAATATAACAGCGGTTGTACTGGTCTCCGTAGCTGCCGCAGTTGCAGTCTAGTGCGGAATAATAAGACGAAACGAGAGAGGGAAAAAAATTGGAAAAAAAAAAAACACCGTCGAACACGATAAAATTGGCATTCGGAACGCGTGTTTAATCAAAGGACGCTTTTCATTAAAAAAAAATAAAATAAAATAAGGAAAAAAACACGGTGCTAAGTCAATATTATCGGCCGGTAGCCGCGCATCTTCTCGCGTATATAATTAACATGTCGCCGATAATTGTATTCGTATTATTATTGTAATGTATACGACGGCGGCGGACAACTGCGTAAATAATTATTTAGATAATATTATGCGCTCGTACGGGTGACTATACCATATGTATTCATTATATATATAAAAAAAAAAAAAATATCCACCGACCGACGACTGCGGTCGCACAATCTGAAGCCGGCGATCTGCGTTGACACGGCCGATACGCAGCGGCAGCAGCAGCGGCAGCGGCATCAGCAGCAGCAGCGGTAGTCGTGTACGTCTTAATTATTATTCATTAAATTAATAAATTATTATAATATATAGGTATAATAGGTATTGGTATTTTTATTTGTATCGAAAATAAATTTGTTGCTCGCCGCGTCTTGACACCGAACAACTATTTTCACGTTTAAATACCGATAAGTATACTGCGGCAACGAGAAGCGAAAAAACAAAAAAATGGCGACGTCGACGACGACGAAAAAAAACAACTCGCCCGGAGAAGACGTCATTATACTGTGAGGGGAAGAGCTGCCGATCGCGGAACGCGTTGAGAAATTATCATAAATAAACTTCTCTTATATTCGTCGCGAAAATAAATAAAATTAAAAAAAAAAAACGGCGTAGCCGATTATATGTGTATATATATAGGCCCACGCTTCAGCGTCCAACCACGTGGGTTTTGGGTGTACATGTGTCGCCCGAGCAGATTTATTTGCCCGTGGCAAATTATAATCGTATCGAGTACAACACGTCATTCGTTACGATAATAACATAATAAACGACTGCCTGCGTGATTCCGCCGAGAGTGTAAGTTATAATAATCGCTGGATCGTATGCACGCGTGCGTGCAAAAAAAAATAAAATCGGGAAGTCGGTTTGT